TCCCTGGTATAGGAAGAAACCTCTAAGTTAAAACAATTACAGAAACTAGTCTCACCTTCCTCCGGTAGTTACTTTACTTCCTCATCATTTCCGCTGACTAGAGAGGCAAATATGACCGAGAGTCTGTAAATTAACTGTTTACTGTACATCCCAAAGATAGTGATGAGAAGGTTCCATACTCCGTAGTTACAGTAGAACGGAGCGTTGTTATCTTCATACTGGACATCCCCAATGTCAATGAAGAAAACAGAACTTAGAATATAGCGGTTGGTTCTTGGGTTGGTTAGACTTTTGGTATATTATGAATGTCCTAATATGCAGAGTCAGCGACTTCTAATTGAAATTACATTGCTTAACTTATTAACTCTAATGACCTCCACAAATAGAAAATATTTCAATTTGATATTTCACCTCTGATTTGATATAGGAATAAATAAATTTGATCAAAATATCAAATATTTATACATTTGGCGCTTCTACATGATTGATTAAATATTGTTTTCCTTCTAATCCATGCCGCATATGAGAAAATATTGAGTATTTTTCATATTTTAAGATAAAAAGGTAGACCTCATTTTGGAGCGCTTTTAAGTTGTGTTTCTTCACGAACAAATATAATTCACACGGACTAAATGTCATTTTAAAATGTTAGAAAAGTATTCGTTGTAATAATTTTAATCTGGTCTAAGGTTGAAACTATTGGTTAAGAAAGCGCTAATCTACAATGGCTGAACTTGATACCAACAAGGAATATGAAATGGAAGGGAGATACAACTCCTTGCATACTCAGTATCCCCCCCTTCCCCCTAGAATAAACCTTTCTCCAATACATTCCTATAGAAAACAGATAGATAGATATTCATTGAATTTGTTCTATAAACCTTGTTTTCCTCATGCGTAATTTTCCTTTTTCTGTTCAATGAACCCTAAAAAAATGGAATATTTGTTGTATAAAAAATTAAGTAAGATAAACTTGTTTATGAAAATATATCGAAAAAAATGTGTATTTACTCCTGGTGAACAGTAAACAATGCAATTAATTGCAGAATTCCAACTACTATTAATGTATATAAACACTTTACACTACACAGGGGTTTATTTCCAGTCATATTCCTGTAAAATTGCAAATCTGCCATTCTAATATAATCTCGTTCCTTGATTTTTGGTCTTTAAATACCAAAACTTGTTAGATGTTTATTCTGTGGTAAAAGAAAGTGCTTGTATAACCTTGTCAATTAACCCAAATATAACACGTGAAGGAATAAAGATCTTGGATTACTGCAGACGGATTAAGACAAATATCAGATTTCTTTTTTTATTTACATTTAGTTTGTACGTTAGTTTTACATTTAGTTTGACCTTTAATTGCATTAATCTCACATCTTTAGCTCCTTAATCTCTTTTATCTTGTCCTCCCAATAAATCTCTTGTAAAGGTTATATCTTATTTGTCTATCAAGAGTTTTCTCTCTTCGCGGTTGTATGTTATCTTAGAAACCTTAAAGATGTTGATGGAGAAAACAAGATGATTCTGGGAATATATCTACCTACGTTCTACCTAGGTCCTTCCTTCCTACACACTTTCCTACCCACCTACCTACCTACCTATCTTTATGTCTACCTTTCTACCTACCTACCTATATTTATGTCTACCTTTCTACCTACCTACCTTCCTATATACCCTATCTGCCTTACTACCTATCTACATACCTACCTTATTAAACTCTCTTCGTACCTTCGTACCTACTTATCTACATACCTTACTTATCTAACTACCTAATCTACATACCTTCGTACCTACCTAAATCCTTACTTACCTACCTATCTACCTACTTAAAAACCTACCTTCCTGTCTGCCTTGGTAAACTCAATCAAAAATGCAATTAAGTTGACTCCAGGAAATCATGATACGATCTGCTCCAGTAGCCTCGATCATGAACACGTTCCCTGATTTCTCCCAGTATCTGCAGGGGTGTATGGATGTTCATACTTAACCCTATTCCTGCTGGGTTTGCGATAAAAAATTCAATTTTCGCAAATTTGCAATTTTTTTTGCAGATTCTAAAAGTAGAGCACAAGAGCTTTCTAATGATGTATCATTTGTCATATTTGGACATAAAACATGGAATTTAGAGGGGGGGGGGTCAAATTGACCCCCCCCAGCGTATCCTGGTTTTCAAGTACCCCAGCAGGGATAGGGTTAATGGCCAATTTTGTCTCCTCACGGAGATCCAGATAAAAATGAAAATTATGCTTATTTCCCCACATTAACTCACTTAATTATGCTTTTTGTTTTGTAGTCTTAGACATTTTTACATTTTTAAACTACAGCGCGTTCTATTTATACGATATACATGAATGACACACTTCAGTTTCAGTAGAAGTAAATATTTCCATTAACTGATAGCGCTGATTGAAAGATTTATAACTCTAATTGGATAATGAGATAGATAGAAAGATAGATGTTGCCGCTTTACTATTTCTATTGGTTCATGATAGACAAAAAACACATGACTGAACCCTGATTGGATCAGGTGCTAATGGACTCGGCATACAGGAGTGGACCCCCAATCCCCATTTTGCAACTACTCGGAGACATGGCCAAGCACATGGATAGAAGGAGCCCTGACATATGCTCGTCAAAGAAATGAAAGAATCCCGGTGGTAAATATAAATTCCTCGAGTTTTCCAAGCCAGGTTCTCCTTAATCTTGCTTCCTTGGCTTTCCACTCTAATTCCTCTCTAAAGGGGATGGTGGAGATGTCACATATGATGTGGGGGGGGCATGCCCTCATTTTTGGTCCAAATCTTCCAATTTTTTGGCTGCATGCCTAATTAGCGATCGAAATTAATAACCTCTAATGACCTCCACAAATAGAAAATATTTCAATTATGGCTTTATGCATATCAAACGAAAGCTAGGAACCCAGGGAATCCAGTAGCAACAACAAATCCAGTGTTTGACCATTTAATGACCTCTTACTACCTCTAATGACCTGAATGACCTCCAAAATGAAAATGTTTTAACTATGGCATTATTCATATCGATTAAAAGATAGGAATCCCAGGAACACAGTAGCAGCTACGAATCCAGTGTTTAACCTTCTAATGACCTCTAATGACCTCCAAAATAAAAATGTTTTAACTATTTTAAATTTTATTTCGAACCTTAATAAAAAGACACTTTAAAACGTTTGTTAATTAAAATATAAAAAAAATAAAATAACTTAATTGAAGCTTAATGAACAATATCTCACATAAAAAAAACTATAAATCTAGTTTTTATGATTAGGATTAAATAGATTCAATACACAAAATTATATTATACATTCTCCAATAGCTCCTTCAATAAGGTTTAACAGAAACTGAAAACTCGCCTTAAACTCCTTAAACTTTAATTTTCTTGTAATTTCCCTAAAAGTTTGTAACTTTGTAAACCTTTGAGATTTTAAACTTAAACTATTTGATTAAGCTGAATTTATAGTTTGAAATATATTTAGATTTAGTGAGGTTGCAAAGATATAAGATCAGGTTTGCATAATCATGATTGGAGTAGGTTTTCTCCTGTAGAAGTAGATAACTGAGAAACAATCCAGGGATCCGATACAATAGATCCGTTCCTGTGCCTTATCCGGTAGATAACAGTGATCTCCACAAAAATATCTTTTAAAAAAAATATATGACCAAGTAAAAAAAGTTGCGTATAATGTCCATTGGGACCCAAGAGAAGAAACGAGTCTAAGATAGACCCGGTTTTATTTAATTTAAACTCCAATCTGATTGGTTTAAATGATTCTCTAAAATATCACAAGTTTAATTTAATCGGGGAATAGGAGTGCACTCAGTGCACAAGCTTCTTTAATTAAAATAGGATCAATAAAAATCAAACTACATTAAATTATTTTAAATTTAGGTTTACATCAGTAAAATAACAATTCATCAAGGTACATGAGCATTGAGCAGTAAAGCACCAGAAAGATTCCAAGGAGCTCAGGAACTGAGTTCTTAAACCCAACCTCAAATTTTCTAATCGCTATATTTTCGGGTTGTGAAGGTTTATTTAAATATTATATCATTATATCATTGTGGCAATAACTCATTCCTTTACCAATTTAAAGTTATAAATGTGTATTTGTATTATCCAACGCGGTTTCTTGAAACACGATATATATTTGTTTTCAACCATAAACGTTCTAGATATTTTTCTCTTTAATATCATTCTTTTAATGCATAGTCACAAACAAAAGTGACTTCAGAAACGCTTATACGAGATCTTTCCAGTCTTTTTTTCCATTCATGGTTCCTTGCAACAGTATACTTGTTCCATTCTTTACAAATAGTTTGAGGTAGTCATTCAAGGCTCAGTCTTTGTGGGTAACCATTTATTTATTGTCTATAAATGTAAGATAAAGCAGGGGCTATTTCCGTTAATATATTTTTAAGCAATTTTCCTGAAATTCTATTTATATCCTCAGAGGTTTTGTTTTCCAGTCTTTCTAATTCTTCCATTATTTTTTACTGGATCAGTTGGAAATATCAAAGGAATGCATTGAGGGAGATGGAAGAAATTCTGAAAAATCTATATCTATTATAAGAATAGCTTCTGCTTTAAATTGGCCAATAGATGAAAAATATTTATTGAACATTGAGTTCAATACTTTATCTGAGAAACTGAGATAATTTATTTTTTCTTCTTAATGGAATCAATTTTCATTGAACTCTGATTAGGCTTCTTTCCCGCCATATATTTTTTGATGTTTCCCACATCTTCTTGGGATTTTGTTTTGGCAACCTATTAATTTACTAAAATAGATCTTCTTTGCTTGATGTTTATCGTGTATTAGTAAATATTTCGAAATCTTTGATAAGGAATAAGTTTGGTATAGAGACATCCCAAATTTCTTGTAAAACTAAAACTGATACATTTCCTCCTGATTTTTCAATTCTTTCAAGAAATAACTAATCTATAACTTAAAACTCGTGTTAAATATAAAAAGCACAAAACAAATAATAAACTTTTTTGATCTTTGAATAATATTATATATAAAATCAATCACAGTTGGTGAGGATATCACATGAGTGTAAATATTGGGTTTAAAAAATCAAGACAAAAACAAGAGAGCATGCACTTGACATACTAGGTGATAAAAATAAATAGGGTTTCAGAATGTAGGTTTTCATGAATTTCCTTTCAGGTTTTCCTTTGTATTCTCCAATAAAAGAGAGAACCACTCCAACAGTCCTGGATTGATGTACAACAAGAACTCATCCTCAATCTCAAGCATAGGTTTCAAGCTTGCAATCTCATTCTCAGAACACTCGGAGTGGTTTCCTGAAAACTGGATCGAGTCCAACACAAACTGTGCAACTCGGTCGGATGGTTTAAAACAGTCTTCGATCGATCTTTCTTTGTAAATTTTCAGAACAGTCAGGGACGGATCATCTCTGCAACTATCCAAGGAAAGGTTTTTCAGGTTGTGAATCTGCTGAACATCGTCCTCCTCTTCTAACATCACTATGAGAGAATCATGAGTAAGAATACAAGTTACAGCAATGTACTGGTTGTCTCTGTGTAAACTAGCATCTACGGAGCAAACGATTCTCTCTGCTAAAGATATCTTCCATTGAAACTTCAAATCGGAGCTAACTAGATCTAGAACTAGAGAAGGGACACACATTTTAATCGCTTTCCTGTCTTTGCTCCACCCACTTCCAACTAACAAACCTTGTCCTGTTAATGCAATAAGTTCCGCTGCTCCACCCAGTGGTTTAGCGACCATACCAACCAGCCCCTTACCAACCCCTCCCATAAGTTTGATCGGAGAAACCCCATCATTAATAAGAATCTGAATGGGATGATGAGCGATTCCTCCGATAGCTCCAAGAACACTAACTCCTATTCCGGACAGACCCGAGATAACACCCTCCGTCACTCCTCGTGGTTTCTGTCTTCTGGCCGCTTCGTTCCTCTGCCAGTGCTCATTGTCGAATGAAAGCTTGTCCAGGTTCCTCGAGACGCTTTTAGCAAAGTTGGTGATTGAGGTGAGGGTTCCTGCAGAGACATGTTTAACAAGACTTGAAGATCCTAGAGTCAGTCCGACTAAGAACCCCCAGGGTCCGTTAAATATACCCTCGCAAGGTAGAGCAACAAAATCCTTGATTCCTTCTGTTACATTTCTGGTAAACGCTGCAGGGTTTCCAATCATATCAAGACTTCCCACCACCCAACCTGCCTTAAACAGTGCACCAGACAAATAATGCCTGGACAAGGTGTGTCCTATACTGTACCCAGAGCACCACAGCTTTTCCTTTTCAAACCTTGCCAAGTTTAAAACTGTATCTTCTAGACCCAGGAATAGTTTGACTGACGCGTGGACGCTAACCTGAAGGTAGATATCGTTTATACATATTCTATCCAGGAACATCAGGTTTCTAGAACTCTCAATGTTTAGACGAACTTGGATAGGGAGAACCCCTGAGATGGAAGAAACCTCTCTAGTACCGATATTACCAAACTGTTTTCCGTACTCTTGAAGTACATAGAAGAATGTATCCTCTAGGTTAAGACAAACAGGGCTAAGAGAAATTGTTAGATTGTTCAAGAATCGTTTATGCGAAGACTGATCCAAAGTAAAGTTTAGTTCCAGAAACCTGGACTCGGAACCCTCTGGTTTGTTGATAACTACAGGGAATTGATAAAGTCCTCTATCATACATCTGATTATCTAATTGTAGATCTCCAATATTACACTGTACTCTATACTGCTGGACAGGTTCAGATCCTTCCATCATTTTCATTAGATTTGGAAGAATCTTCAAGGATGTATCAGTCAGAGTTAACCTTACTATCTCTTGAATATCCGGGAAGTTGCATAAATCATCGGTTATTGCAACATCGAACTCCTTCATCTTGAGAACCATGGTAAAGATTGGTCGAACATCCTTGATAGGATTAGGTTCATGGTCAACAGAGGTTCTCCGGGTACTGGACTGGGACCGTTTAAGCATAACAAATGAGTTGGTTGAACTGACAGTTTCAATCTCCAGTGGTTCAGGAACAGGTGTACCTAGAGCCTCAGTTTGGTCCTGAAACCGTGCGCGGATATCCTTTGCTGAAATCTCCATATTAGAGACGGGTTCGATAGAAATTTCCGATATAGGGAGAGAGGAGTTGACACGGAGTTTTATATCTCCGTATCCAGGGAGATTAAGGAAGGTTTCTTGAGATAAACTGATGTCTACACTCTGTGACCAGGTATTCTCTAAATAGAAAACATTAATATAAGAATGGTAAAAATGAATAATGGATGTTACTACAGCTCAAAAAAACGTTACATACGTATTATTTTAAAATAAAATATACAATGTTAAAGATTAAGATAAACGTTTGAATATCTAGTAAAACATTTTTGAGAGTTTGATCCGTATTAAAAAAAGAACTATCTTATTAAGATTAAATGTCCTGCAAAAACAGGTTAAATTAAATAAAGACAAAGTTTAGAAGTCCTATTAAAATATCTGACCTGAATTAAATTTTCTGAAAGCAATCCTATTCTTCTCGTGATCCTCTATAACGTAAGGATATCCGTCTTGAATATATCGACATGTATAGAAAGCATGATGCTCGGTTTTCAAATATTCAGGACTCTCAGATACTTCTCCGAACTCAATATCTTCCAGGAGCTTATTTCTAATCCTAAACTGTGGCCTCTCGTCCTTCAGTAGAACTACGTGAACCTGTCCCTCAAGCCTGTGATTAATCAGTAAACAAGGATATGCGGATACATCCTCACCAGACAGACAGAAGCATTGCCGTTTATCCGAGTCCGTAGGAATACTGATGTTCCTAGTCCAGGTGTTCCCGGTGCAGGAAACCGAGATGAGAAACTCAGGTTTAGCGTTTCCCTTGTCAAAAATGTTCCAGAGCAATCCTTGCTCCTGGTTCCCACATTCTAGATCAAGTATAGACTCTTCTGTACTTTCTTCGGTGTTATATTGAATACTGAGAGATTTCCTGCACGAAACTGAAGGTTTGATCCTAACCCTGGTCTCCAGCTGGTTTGTAAAGATAAACATAGGTTGAAGAGTAACTAGGCGGGTCCCCTCAACCATCTCAGAATGAATATTCAGAAACATTCTTCTTTCACCACATTTAACCTGGTAGATTATATTTCCAGACAAAGGTATTATTTTCTCATGGTTTGGGAGAAGAGAAACATACGTCCAATCATGATCAGTGATTTCTAGTGAAGAGCCAAGGTACTCCTCACCCTTGTTTGTCAGCAGTCCAAATTTAAACACAGATTTGAGAAGAGGAGGATGCAGGACAGAGTTAGGATCCATAAACCAGAAGTCCTTCCCGGAGTTGACAACCAGGTTTAACTCAGTTTCATTCACAATCAAAAGCTTGGATTGAACAATTACTTTAAGTGTGTTAAGAGCAGGATGTATTTCTTCAAACCTAACCTGACATTCTGAACCACACTGATCAACAATCTTTAACTTGGTTAGGTCTCGAAAGTCTTTGGTTGAGTTTAGTTTACATCGACTTATCTTCATGATATCGTTGACCATGGTGGTGTGGGTCCTGGTTTCAAATTTGGAGGTTCTGACCTGATCAATTATACCCCAGGATACACTGACAGGAGGTGAAGATGGGGGTGTGTCCGGGCTTAGCTGAAAACAGAGATTAAATTTATTCTCCGGAGCATGTTGGAGTTCTAGCTGAGCAGATGTGTTGAACCCTGGTAGGATAATGTCACTCTCCACATCCTCACACTGAATGTGTGTAGTTAGCCGACCCGGAACCAAGGATTGAACAATATACATTGGACTAAACACAACCAGGGTTCGTGTACTAGCTCCAATATTCTCCTTGAATAGGCTGCACCAGATGGTTACACTAGTTCCCTTCTCCCTCTGAGGAAGACGGACTAATGAACTTTTTCGTGGATTCTTTAAACTGATTTCACCAGACCATGGAGTAAACAGTCCAAACAGTTTCAACTTCAGTCCCACAGTTGAGTGTTCAGTTATTATAGAGACTGGTCTCTCAAAACTACCTGCTACATGCTTCTGATCCTCGGTGTTCTCTGACAATAGTTTGAGCTCAATATGATCCTGGAGCAGGTTAATGACAGTAACTAGTCCCATAAACCTCACAACTTGGAGAGTTGAGGACTTCATCTGAACCTGTATCACTAGTTGACTGCTATCATCCAACCTTATCAAAGATTCTCCCTGTTGCAAGGAGAAAGAGTCCGACCAAGCAAGTGTATGCATGCTAGAGGACAATCGTATCATAGATGCGCTCTTCTGTGACCTCCAAGTGTACATGAGTAAGGTTCTACTCTCTGCTAGTATCTTTTCATCCGTTCCAACCTGACCAAATAGTAGGGGTCGAGAGGTTTCATTCACAATCATTATCTGAGTCAGTGGAATGAAGGGAAGCTCAGCTGTAGGATTATCTAACATATTCCAACTTTGTTCCCATAGTTTAAAGGATTGTGACAGAGTATGGATTGCGAAAGGACCAAGAATCATCTCCGCAGTTCCAATATCTGTAAATACATCAAGAAAAGTTTTCTGGGTCTGAAGTTTCAAGGAGACATCGCAAGGTTGGAGGAAATGATGTTTAGCAAGATAAAGATAATCAGTGAACTGAACCCCAACCCTTCCACGAGCACTCAGTTTTGCGGACTTATTAGATTTTTCATTCCAGAGACAGATCTCGGAAGAAACAGACTCTATATATCCTGTTAGAAAGGACTGATCTTTTGGAAGAGATGTATCCAACCCTAAACCATTAAAATCATCTTCAAGTTTAATTCCTACAAAATGTAAATGATTGTGGAGCGTAATATCTACATGTGACGAGCACAATACAATTTGAAAGTTTGGCAGCATCGAGGATGAGTAGAACGAGTCTACACGAAGAGCTGATAGTAGGCTGCAGGGGATCTCATCTCGTATATTTCCAACAGGAAACATCTGAACCCTCCAGGTCTTAGCAAACTCACACCCTCTTCTATCAGTGCAGAGGGGCAGATCAAGATGAGTAACATTCCCTTCTTGCAGTTGAAAGTGCTGGTAGAGCATCCAACATGATCTAGTTCCAGACCAGAACTGAAGTTGGCACGCTACTGAATCTTCTCCTGATAATCCGTCTTGTGCAATGGTTAAAGGAAGTGGAAGTATCGCCATCTTAGTAAGAGCTCTTGGTCTAGGATATGTCCAGGTTAGAGAACTCTTGTTGTAGTTTACGTTGTAAGGCAGAGGAATATCGGAGCTGGATTTATTCTCCTGAACCGAAAATGTTCCAAGTCTCAAATCGTCGGTAAAATACTCCCCGTCCTTGGGAACACTTTCAGTAGGTTCTAGATCCTGGATATTCTCATTCTCTGGATATGTTGATCCAACCTCATTCTTAATCAAGGTTGCAAGTTGATCTAAAACAAAGCAGTGATGAGGACCAAGATGAAAACTTGCTCTTCCCAGGGTAAATATTACAGTTCCACTGAGAGGATGGAACTCTAGATCCGAGGTTAGATGAGCAGATATATTAAGGTTTACAGGATCCAATAAACTATGGACTAATCCATCTAGCTCTATTAGAGACCTTAGTTGCTGGAATACAAGATTAGTCTCTATATTTATCTCCTCTCCGAAATCTAGCTTTAAGGAGCTTTTTAATATAGTGAATCTGTGTTCAAGCAACATTGTCTTGGAGGTTTTGAACAAGAATCCAAATCCTGTTTTGTTTGTTGACAAGAGAAATTGAATTTGTTTGTAAGGAGATTTAAACGGTATAGCTTCATTATTCCTCCTTGAATTTAAATATTTGCTATTTACGGTGTTCAGAAGCTTCACTTTCTCAGGGTCTAGTAGGATAGTGAAGGGTCGGCCTAATGTTGTGGAGAAGAGAAGGTTTGAACTTAGAAACCCTTCTAGGGTTAGATTAAGAAATGAAGGTCTCATCCCTGAAATGATATCAGCTGGAACTGGTTTAGACTCCAGGATAGTGTTACCGAACATACTCTCATTTATAAATGTATTCTTAGTAATATCCAAGTTCAAGGTTGGAGTTGATGCCTGAAAGGTGTACAATGAGAGAGTTATCTTCTGCGAAGTTGGACTGATAACTGAGAATATATGGGGTTGGGTCACCGTTGTCATGAAGAGAGGTTCCAGGCAGGGTTTATTATCTTCATATAACATGAACTTAATGCTGTTACACGTTAGCAAAAGTTCAGCTGGGACGGATATTTCAGGAGGATAATCCTCAATCACTGGCACGGTTTCAGGAGACACTGAGGACCTTGATAAATCTCTGATAAGCTCAAGGATGGAATTGAAGAATATAATCTGCTGCAGGCTGATAAATAATCTGATATCTGAGTAGGTGTTCATCTCCAGGGATATTCCTCCAACTAGATACTCCTCTATCTTCCTGCTCCTTTGTCTACTGTATATAATTGCAGGAGCAAAGTTTAACTTGAAATTAACGTTATGAAAAACAGGATAGAGAATAAAACTGTCATCTTTCTTGTTATCAGGGTTGGATCTCAGGTTCCACTCAAACGCTGGGTTCTCCGACATTGTCCTCAATAGAATCTTCTCATTCGGTCTTTCTCGCAGAGCCATAATATCCTTAAAAATATTTCTGTTAGTTCCGGGAGTCTTAATAAACACGTGCATAAACATTAAAAAACATTAAAATAGCATTTTTTTAAAATAAATTAATATATAAAAGCTTTTCAAAATGTTGTTTTAGATATTAAAAAAGTTTAGGTAACATATCATTATTTAAATTTGGGACCCGTTCTTCAAATCACATCAATTTTGAAATTACAAAAAAGGCAAATTACGACGATAGAAATCCGAGTAAGGAAATATTGTGTAATTTATTGTTAAAAGGATTACTAGTATGACTAGTAACATACAAAAAACAAACATTTTATTAGAAGGAAAGATTAAGGTTTTTTTATTTTTCCTAAAACAGTAGGAGAAATATCTAATATATTCCGGGAATAAAAACTAGTGCTAACCTGCCAACTACCAGTAAGAAGGTTAATCCCTGAGATATCCAACTGATATTGACGATCCTCCAGGACTGAACCCGGTATCTCCAGGTACCCTGCCTCTGCTGCAGAGTAGTACATTTCCTCATTGACCAGTATCCTGGAGAGAGGGTTTTCCACCTGACAGGTTAATCGTGCACTCTCCGTCTCCAGGAGGAAGAAATCCTGAGCTCCAGGTTCAAGTGTAGGATCATGAACATACAGTCTACTCCGCTTAGACTTGAAGTAGATTAGAGGAAGCGTGTTATTGTTTAAACTTGAGTAGGAACTAGATCTATGCTCAGAGGAGTTGGAGGAGAAAAGATCTGTGAAGGGAAGAAAGCATCTCACAAATTTATCTAACACGTCCGTTGTGAGAAAAACATCAACCGGGAATACTTCAAGATCGATTTCCGAAAGATATTTTAGTCCTCCTTGATCCTGTAATAGGTCTTCGTCCCGTCCAACCTTCATCTTTCTGTGGACATTTTTTACCTCCGCTCTTGTCAGAACAAGGTTTATAAACCCGGAGGAGAAAGATTGTCTATCCTCCGAACCTTCCTCTAGATAAACCTCTTCTCGAGCACTTTCTGGGATATGAGCTCCGAGGTTTGGGAACAGATCAGAGTTACAGGATATAATCAAATCATTAAACGGCTGGACGCTCCATTCATTGTTAGTAGACAATTGTTCGGATTGACTGGATAAACTTCGCATCCTCAGGGAAATCTTGGAATATGTTGCTTGACAGTCATAGGATAACGAGCTGTCTTCCATACAAACTGAAATCTTTGTGCAGGATTGAGAAATTAGGGAAAACGTGCAGCTAGGTATTGTGCATTGAAGCCAAACGGACGTGTTACTCTGATCTCGGATGGGTTGGAAGGGTTCAGTTCCTTGACTCTGGGTTACAGGTGTAACGGACTCGGATACAGAACTTACACTGTGCTGAAGAATTGCGAAGGATGTATCAGGTTTAGTTCTCACAACTTCTACAGTATCCGCACTATACAGGAGTTTTGAAGAGAAGGACTGGATGGTTTGTGCAACATTGACAAGTTTACACACGGTTTTATCCTCTAGGATGAATTGTACAGGGGTGATATCGGCATGTACTGCGAACGCAAAGGATTTATTCTCAGAATTATTCATACTCAGGGTACACCTTGAAATAATTCACGATTAAACAATGTAAAAAAATCAGGGGTGTATAAAAAAGGTGGAGCATGTAAAATATATATCTTAAGGATCACAGAAGAGTTTTGTGAAAACGGCTCTAAGCTATCACAGCTCTCTTGCCAGTAGTTTTACATATATTTGCTGTACTAATGTTTTTATTAATATTTGTATAAATTTTGTCATCACTGCAAAAAAATATATAATTTGATTTGATTTGTTAAATGGTGAGGAAATTATAATTTAAAACTATCTTGGCATCAAGAAAATACGTAGAACAAAAATAGCAAAACATTGATGCTCCAGAAAAAAAAATTTTGAAAGTGAATTTTCCTTGTTGAAACCGGGAGAAGACTGGTGGTTTCTCCGACTAGGAGAACTTTAAACCCTGTCATGTTGAGGGTGAGAGGAAGAGTATTCTTCCCAGAGATCCAGACTGCCGGGGGGAACAGAACAGGAAAATGTTGCAAGCTCTCCTCTTCAACTAATCCATTAGTGTTGAAACAGTCAATATTTGGAAATCCAACATTGATAATCCCTAGTCCAGGTTTCATAGTGATCAGTTTAGAGATGGTTTCATCCATATCTTCAGAGCTAAACGCCAGAGAGAAATCCTCACAGAAATATAGGTTGAAGGGTTCAGCCTTAATGTTGAATAACGTGCTTTTTAAGATTTCAGGAGCAAAGTTTCTATTTTCTTCAAGCAGAACCCCTTCGTCTTGTTTTAAAGTTGCGTCAAACGATCTGAACCCGCTATCCTCACATCTTGCTCCGGGTTCAGTGGAAAGGTTGGGTGCACAAATTGCCTGGATGAGAGGAACCATCCCAGGGTAGAAAATACAATCCGAGTGTCCCAACCTCATATAAAAGATGGGTGGAACAAACTGCGTATCTGCTCCAGAAGGAAATTGAAGGATTAAATTGATCCAGGACTCAGAACTTTCTCCAGGAGCGGTTTTTCTGGGGCTCTGAGTCGAAACATTGTTTCCCTTGAATACTAAAGAGAACTTAGGTTTGTAGGGTAGAATTATGTTTGCGAACTTGATCTCTAATTCTCCGACACAAACGGACACAGTGTTGATTTTGCTAGTCCAGGTAAATGTTGTACTAAGTCTGGAGCAAGAGCAAAGTAGAACCGGACCTAGATCTTCCAGCAAACCTTCAACTAAACTTTTCTCTCCGAAATTAACGGCGTGAAGTACTTCCTTAACTAAGCCAACGGAAAACATGGATATCCGTCCCTCCAGGTTGTCCAGCTCTAGGTGAATATCTCCCTGCTTCTGGTAAATATTCTTCCAATGGTTCTTCAGAAGAAGCTTCTTCCCAGTTAGTTTTAGCTTCTGTAGATTTAATAGTTTAATCTGCTGATCCTTATACACGATCCTACTCCAGTACTCAACCAGAGTTCCAGATACAGAGTTGTGGGAATTGTTTAATATTATTCTACTAGGTGGATGCATCATAGATCCAACCTAAACAATCAAATTTTAAAATAGTGAAAAACAAATTCATCATCTTTGATTAAATTACCTTGACGTTTCTGAGCGGGTACATAGGAGTATGAAGTGTTAGATCTAGACACCGAACCCCAGTTTCCATTTTCCTATCACCACAGTGAAAAGTTAGAACAGGATGCAGGATAGTGATCTGATATACCCGGATAGGATTATTGTTCTCTAAACTATCAATATCCTCCTTGGTTGGAATCTCAAGCTTTGTTGGAACATCGTCCTGAACCTCAGGAGCAGGAGAATCAAACTCAAGAATCATTCTTCGGAGAATATTAATTCGTTTCACCAGGTCCGCGTCTACATGTATATTTGTTGGACCAACTACAAGCCGGCATATCGCCCTCTCAGGTAGGTTACTGTACTCAAGGTTGGAGGAGAGTAGCGCTATATCCTCACTTGTTGCATCCTCAGGGTACTCAATACTATAGATATAATCTAAACCCAGAGCAGGCGTTTTCTCTAGTAATTCCGTTTCATTTACATTGTCCATATGCTGGTCACTACTCTTATTGTCTCTGTAGTTTAACTCCGCATGGTTTTTTGTTTCTTCGCCTGGGCTGCGAGGTTCAAACAGAGAATCTAAACAATTCAAATTGATCAAACAATTTTTAGCTGAAGTAGAATGTTAAAAGTTAAATATCTAAATATGATGATGAATATATATTAAATCTAAAATGTAGATTACCTTTGAGATATTTCTCCCCGACGTATCCTGCAAGAATGAAGGAGTGTAGAGAGGACGGATCTCCGGCAGGAGATAAAACAAATTGACTTACTCCGCCCTGGACATTGACCCAGTTTTGTCCAAGACTGGAGAGGTTTAGATAAACTCCCTGCAGGGAGAGGGATAGGAACGGAGTGTAAACATGGCGAACTCCTCCATACCCACCCTTACTCTTTACACTCTTGCTCGATTTTAAGGTTAAATCAATTTCCTAAAGTAATATTCTCGAATTAGTTTAATTTATCAAAGTTTTAATATTCTAAGTAACCCCTGTTTAATAATAACTGACCTTAAAATTAAAAACTACACTTGTAGATAGCTCCTTAAGCTGAGCAGGGGTGAGATGGAACTCATCCTCTTCATCCTCATCCTCCCATTGAATGGGGAGAAGAGCAGAACCTACAGTTGATCCAACAGTCCAAAGTAAACCTCCTGAAACAATATTTATTGAATTATAAGATGTGGGGTTAGGGGCGTATTGTTTTTAAACTTCATTAAGTTAACACATTTGCCAATTTCATTCCATTTTGTCNTATTTTTGATGGGGTGAGGGATGAATTTTTAAGAAAAAATATCTCTAGTTAATCTGTAAAAACCATAAATAAATGTTTAAGTTTAAAGAACGCCTACCTAGAGTTAAATTGTCTTCTGACTCTTCTGTTGCATGATCAGGACTAGACTGCAAAGGATTAGATATCTCTAAACCTTCTCCAGGTTCATGCCTCATATCTCCCCTTATAAAGTCCAGGAAGAGTGTGAGGAGGCGGTGCAGAAGAGCCATCTGTCGGCTTGTTACAGAGAAATCCATTTTCTGCATCATAAAGTGGAAAAGGGTTCTAAAGGGGGATTTTGAGTGAATGGTTTGGAAGCACCAGGAGAGACGAGCAGTGAGGGAGCAACGATAAAGTAATGGATCCTATAAATATATATTAATGAATGCTTCACAAATCTCTTCATTGAATATTGCAAGAGAAAACGATATTTAAAGTTTTTAGAAGGAGGACAATAAAAACTGTTAACTTAGGCTTATCCTCTAGATATTGACTAAAATTCAGTGAATAAATATTTTGGTTCAGGCTCAAATTAAAAAAAACACACATTTAAAATATGAATAAATGTTATTACCTTTGTGTCAAATGATTCTGATTTGTACAATTCCGACTTAGTCAAGATGAACAATTTAAAAATAAGAACTATCCAGAGTTGGCCTCTTACCTCATAGGATTCAATTTTGCCCATGGCTCCTCTTTTATCCAGGCAGACAGTTAGATCTGAGACGGAGAGTAGTTTCCTCATCACAAGATCTGCAGGAGTAAGCTCCGTGAACGCAGTCTCCCAGTTCATATCGGAGGAGACGAGGGAAGCGTGGCGAACATTGATGCTGAGAACCAGGTCGTCCTCGACATATTTCAGGATCAGGTTGTTACAAACTACCTGCAAATAATCAGGGTTTAGGTCAAATATTTCTGGTATAAATGTATCTGTGTTATAGTAACTTTTATGCTGGTTTATCAAAAATTTCATCAAATAAATAATGTTTAAAATTAAATAATGATAAAATGTACATACGTGTGATAATAAGATCAGAATAATAACATTGGTTTGAATTATTATTGTTATTATTAATGTTATTTTTAATGTTATTATTCTTATTATTATTATGAATAAATACATGTTTTTCTGTTTAGTAAAAGGTTACTACGAAAAAGGAAAAAAAATTGTAAAGCCTAAGTGAAAATATTAACTGTATCTGAACTTAAAAACAAAATGAGTATTATTTTGTCCTACCTGAACATTTGAAATTATTTTATTGACTAGATTCTGAATATATCCCGGAGCCGCTTCTTCAATCTTATTCCGCTTTGGTTTACGACTCGACTCTTGGCTCACTCCACTCTCTCCGCTCACTGAACCTGTTTTCCCGGTCGGGAGCCTCAGGACGCATTCAATCGTGTTAATTGTGAGAACGATAGGTTCAGATTGAAGTCGAGTCCACGGGACATGGATCTGTAACTCGTGAATATGACCTGAAAAATAAAAAAGATTTTTAAACTTCCTGATTATATTTCTTTATATATATATATATATATTTATATCCTTTAATATTGCAAGCTATAAATTCTGCTAAATTAAATTAGATACAACATTAACAGGTTTACACCATCCGGTTTAACAGATATTGGGGTAAAAAATGCACCATGCCATTTCCTCCAAAAAAAACGTGATAATCTTAGTCTCAACTTACTAAATGATTAAGTTTTACTAGGGGAATGAATGTTTATTGTTAACAAGCAGAAATTAAAAAAAAGTCAAATCGTGAAAAAAAAAGTTGATTTTTGAAGAATTTTTTTGGTTAGCCTCTGTTTCCCACAGGGTACCCATGGGTTCCCTAGAAAATGTCCGCCAATTTGATCCAACCGTTTGTCCCGCTAAACCTAACATATATATTTATATGAGCTAAGAGCTTTTTTATTCGTGTTATTGGGATGTCATAATAGATAGATAGATAGATATAGATTTAAGTTTTACTGTCAAAAATATGTTATTTTATCATTAAAATTCACCTAGATAAGAATAAACTGCACCTCATTTCAGTTGCACTGTGAATAGTTACCTGAAACAAGTTTAAAGGGAAGTTTTAGTTCCTCCTCCAGGACATCAAGCTTGAGATCTAGGTTGGTTAGGGACGCGTCTCCGCCCCACAGAGAAACTTGGGAATCCTCACTTCGTACATTCTTCACATACTTCTCCACCCGGCTCAGGATTAGAGGAGTTATGTAGGATTCAAGTTTAAACATTATGTACTAAAAATTACGAAACTTTTTCTGTTAATAACATGTTTCACAAGTTACTTTAACATTCTGTACTTACAATCACAGAGTACATTCTTTCTATTTTTGTAGTTATGTACTTATTATCACACAGTACAGTTTAAATAAGTTCACATAATCCTGTTAAAGAGGACAATAACAGTTGTTTATACCATATTTAATCTGAAATAAGAAGCGAGTTAAAAAATGTTCTTTTAACGTTCATTTTACAAACAGGAATCCACGAACATTGACAATAAATTTGTCGAAAGTATCCCTGAACTTGATCCTATGTAACCGCTCCGCCGTGAGCGGAGTATTTGCAGTAAGGGCGGTGAAAGCTTCGAGTAACCTCTGCTTGTTCCCTTCTTCCTAAACAGATAAAAACTATGATTACACTTTCTACAAACAATGAAACACCTGTTAAGAGGTAAGAAAAATCTATTTAAAAAAAAATAAAATTCTTTAACAATTTAGAAACAAGGGCTTATGTATCTTTACCCATCCCCTCAAAATAACCATTTTTGAGGGAGAAATTTTTAACATTATTTTAATCGTTGAGTTGACTTAAAAAAAAGAAACACTTGTTCAAAAACCAAAAAATAGCCACCAAAAGAAAAGACGAAAAACATTGTAGAGCAGGTGCATNTTGATGAAAAATTGGACATTAAAAGGCAAAAATACATTCATTTACCACTAAAAATCATTTATTTTCTCCACTTTAGCGAATGGAACTTCCTTAAAAAAAGTTGGCGTGGAGCGCTAAAATACCTCTAGAGGGGAAAACATTATTTTTTAAAGAAAATATATACAGTACACCCCAGTTCTTAAATCTTTTAACCATGGCAAGTTAACCTGTGATTGAACCAAGAGCTCCACCAGCTGTTGATAAGTATCCTGGTACAGGCAGATTAAAACGTAAAGAGTGGCAGAACTGTTCGGTATGAGATCACTGTTAATCTGATGGTTTAGGATGAGATCTAAGTAGAGTTTAAGGAAGCACCGCATCTGCTCATAGATCGGGGGTTCACGGATATGGTTTCGAACCATGTAGCCCCCCAGAACCTACAATTGTAATTAAATAAAAAAGCTTGCCAATCCATGTATCTTTCCCATTGAATATATATTGAAGGTAGGTTAATAGAAACAATCTTCCTATTTGATGATTTTAAGCCACGTAGTATTCCGATGGTTAGGATCATTTGAGGAAAAACGCAGATTCTAAAATGATCCCAGCTATAAATATAGATACAGCTTAAATAGGGGGCTCATGTGTTAATCATATTCTTGACAATTTATAGGGTTTGTCTACACTAAAGAGAAACTAGCGGGTTCTAAACAATATTTTCGAGGATTTCCTTAAAATCTAGAGCAATAAGAATGAAATCCTTTAGATCTTTTTCCGTTATGGTGTCTAGTTTTGGGAAACAATATTTAATTACCTGAATAAAATCACAGCAAAGGCTGAATACCGGGTCAACACCGAGGTTGGTGAGACCGAGCTGGAGGCTGGTCACCAGACTCTGCTGTAGGTCAGCCTGGAGTCCTATCACCTGCAAATATAATATAATTGAACATTATAATCAAATTTCAAAAATTGGGCTACAACGGGTAAGTTCCCCCCTCAGAGCGTAGTGGGGGGGGGGGGTAATTTTTCAAGAAAATATATATACTCTGCTTTTTTCATACATTGTAAAAATCCTGATCAATATTATATCGAAGTGATTATTGTTATTATTAATGTTATTTTTAATGTTATTATTCTTATTATTATTATGAATAAATACATGTTTTTCTGTTTAGTAAAAGGTTACTACGAAAAAGGAAAAAAAATTGTAAAGCCTAAGTGAAAATATTAACTGTATNGGAGGCACAAGTTGGGAAACTTTAACAGCTCCTCCGACATCAACTGAACAATATTATTAAAATATTGGAGGCACAAGTTGGGAAACTTTAACAGCTCCTCCGACATCAACTGAACAATATTATTAATTACATCAAATCCTTCAAAACAACAGCAATTAACATTTGATACTTTGGAGCAATATTTATGCAACCTCAGTCTTAAAAGGAACTGTTGGCATAATTTCAAGTAACCTTGACCGAGATTACGCTTTTACCGTAACTTTAAACCAAAAGTAATTGTTTTATTTCAAGAAAAAGTCATTCTTTTTCCTTTTTAGCAAGGTATTTGTAATTTAAAAAAAAAAAAATTTTTTTTTGTAAAATAAAATGGTACGAGGCATAATTTATAATTTTTTCCTTATTTAATGTAAAAATTGTTTAATTTGAGCTAAAAAATTACACTTTTTAGAACATGAATTTGATGCATGAATTAATTGTTTTTATACCGGCATAATGATGTTCAACCCAAATAGACAGACATCCGCCGCAGTAACAGTATCATCTGTATCCTGGCTGTCAGGAGGACTGAGATCTATAAAATCCTTGCTCAGCAGATTAGTCAGGAGTTCCATGAAGAGAAGAAGATCTTTATATTGCTCCTCCTCAGCCTCCTTACTATAGCTCTTCTTCCCAACATGATGGTCCGCGTAGGTTTTTATTAGGGCAAGGGACGCTTCGTAGAAAGCTTTAGATTCAGCTGGGGTTAAATAGCAGAGAATACGTTTGGCAGTTTCACAGTAGAGTTCCAATATTAGTTCAACCACCTAGAAATAGATATGATTTCATTTTACATCCATATACATACTTTGCTTGTCTGTCTGTTTATATCCAATAAACGTCGAAACGGATGAACCGATCGGGTTTATGAAGGATCAAAATTTCAAAAATTTGTGTTTAAAAGTTTTTTGTAAAATTTTGAAAATGCGCGAAAAAATAGATAAATATAAGTAGATGGTTCATCTGTCTGTCTGTTTGTTTGTATCCAATAAACGTCAAAACGGCTGAACCGATCGGGCCCAAATTTTGTGTTGGGCCTTGCGTGAACCAGGGAAGGATAATGGATGATTCAATTTTCAAAAAGTTGCATCTAAAAAAAATCGATTTTTGACAATTTTAAAAATCCACGAAATATTTGTTTAATCCATGGAAAGAAAAATGAAAAAACTAACAGATTTATACCTGATTGTAGTTATGATATAAGGCCAATAAATGCACCAGTGAGGCAATAGTTGGACGCATCCAACCAAACAGCTGATGCACTGTGGACACCTGGCAACCCTGTACTACTCCTGTAAAGCTCTCTAGGAGATCTATCACTGCTATCCGCACAATCTCGTCCATAAAGATAGTTTTCAGGTTCGGGTTCTCAACTATCTCCTTGTACCGGGCTTCTAGAGGTTTCAGAACCTTTATCAGAATACAGTTAGAATGAAAAGTTGTTAAATTGAATAAGAGTTTAGACATGAAAATCCCCCCCCCCCCCAAAAAAAAAAAACTGTCTTGTCAATGCAATTTTCGGAAACCCTTTAATCAAAGAATCCCGTTTTTTAAAAAGGTTTGAGGAGTATTAATTAATTCATTGCATTCACGACTCCCTTTGTCAGGGTGAAAACTTTAGCTTAAAGGGACTGTAAGCGTAATTTCAAGTGACTCTTCCAGCAAAGATTTGAAACCTTTATCTGGTCAATAATGTGGAAGATATTATCTTTTTTTCTAGGGTTAAAAAAGGTTGCTTCTGATAATTCCTGCATGTTTTACTGTAGTAGAAATGTGCAAGTCACTTATTAGAGAAACCACAATTGGTAATAATCCGTTTATTAAATTATACACATTGATATCTAATTCATGCTTGATCAGACGAAGAGTTATGAATCGGGTATTACTAACTTACGTTTACAGTTCCTTAAAGCTCAACGTATTTACCCTGATAAATGGGGTCGTGAATACAATTCATCAATTAAACACTCATAAAACCTTTTCAATAACTGGACTTTTTTATTAAAAAGTCACTAGAAAATACACCTACAGTCCCGTTTATACAAGTGTTTCCTATTTATCTGTTATTACCTGGCTCCAATATTGCTCCCTACTGACAGAATCCTCCTGAGCAGATCCAACCAATACTAGAGCTTTGATTAATCCTCTTTTACAAGAGGACGGGATTGTGTTAGGTTGAACTCCGATCTGTAGGATACTAAGAAGACCAGGACTGTTACAAACAGTTCCACACTTCTCCTAAAATATAACAAAATTAAACAAGAAAACAACATAAAGACCGATTAAACCCATCCCGATATAATTTTTACTAATTAATCATTACTTACTCGTGAATCTGCAAAGCTGAGAATGAGCCCAATAGTATCCTTCATAACATCAGGTTCGGAGTTTAGCCGTGTCAGGTTTGAAATACATTTCTCCAAAAGAAAATTGACCGTCCAGGTTGCTCCCTCTGTATCCCGACCAAATGCTGTGAGGAGTGCGCCACTTATCTCCTGGTATATAGCTTCCTGTGTAGCAAGATAGGTGTGAGACCAACGGCGGAGAAACCACATGACAGTAGAGGAGACTAGAGGAGACCAGAGATGAATTAAACCAGCTTCCAAAGCTCTTTTTTCAACCTGAAAAAGGAAAAAAATTGCATATTCCTATTATTCAAGTTTATTGTTATTAATAACTACCAAATATAAACCACAAACCTCTGTGAGTCTGAGTACATCTCCAATCAATCTAACAATATGATCAGAGGATTCATATCCAGGGATCTCACAAGCAGACTTCCCCGGAGACGCCAGAACCTCCAGAGATTTGGAAATATCTACAGAAGAAGCCTGAGCAATGGAATGCAGCATCAATTCATGAGGAATCAGAGCGGTTTCTCCATCTACGTCCATGGAAAGAACGTTGCCCCCGATCAGAAGGATCCAATGGATGTCCTCGAACAAGTCTGAGAGAACCTCATCGACCTCTGTTCCTCCTTGGCTTGAGATTCGTTGAATCTGTCCATGAAGCCGAGTTATCCTACTCTCCAGTAGCGTTATTACAGCTGGCATAGAGTAGTCCAGGCATTCTCGACCTAGTGCTCCAACAGTGCTCAGAGTATCCTTGTATTTAACCCTATCCGCGTCCTCGTTCTCATCCTCATCCTCAACACAACCTCTTCGTCGTACTCCGTCCGGAGGAGCCAGATGAACTTCGATGAAGGTTTTAAATATTGCAGCGGCAGCTTCCTTGCAATATCCTGTTGGGAACAACTGGTTTTCATTAAGGATTGAGATCCAAGCTTCCATTGAATTTTCAAAGGCCTAAAATAAAAATTAACCTAAAATTTTTTTCGTCTTTGTAATAAATTGCTTACCTCGTTAAATAACAACTGCTCCTCCTCGTCAGTTCCCGGAGAGAGAGAAGCTCTGAGGAACCCACAGGTTAGAGACACAAGCTGCTCCAGATATTTCTGAAGCAGCTCCCCCTCAATATTCACCAGTATATTAGGGGGATAGAAGAGTATAAGCTTCCTGACTATTGTAGAGATTCCTAAAGCTTCCTTCCCTGGAATAGAACCTGTGCGACCAATATTTTCAATAAGCTGGGTCAAACTCCTAACATACGTTGTCAAATGTTCAAGCCTCAAGTTCTTGGCATTTAAAGTTTGTCCGTTAAGACTAGCAAGCTGGACTAGACAGCTCAGGGTATGGTGAGAAATACTACTGCTGGTCCGGACCCTCCAATGGAAATCAAAGATAAAGGGAACAAGAGAAGGTTCCAAAAGTATCTCTTTCCAGGCAACCCCAGGACGTAGACTTGGACTTTGATCAGACTCGAAGACGGATATGAGTTTTTTAGGAAGATTTACGTTGATAAAGGTCCATGAGAGAACGGTTTCGGAAATCATAACCAACCTCCTCAAAAGATATTCCATATCACTGTTAAGCGGTAGAACGATCTGGGCGGAGAGTTCCTTGAGGGCTGATATGCTAAACCTAAATATGGTTTGAAGATCTGTGCTCTCAAACTGTTTCTTGACCTTGAAATGAAGTTCCCATGGTAGACCAACATCCGAAGATTTCACCGTTGTAGCATACTCTTGCATCAATGCTGTAATGATCGCACATCCCATCATTTGCATCTGTTGATTTCCACTAGCAATTAATTGTTGGACTTCAGCGATCACAAGGCTACGATCCTTTCCCCCATCTTCCACTGATTGTCGCTTCACCATGATAGCTATAACCTGGACGATTCGCTCTCGAACAAACGCTGAGCAGGACGGATTACTAATTACATATTGGAGAAGATAGGTTCGGAGAGCGTGGATATCCTGGGCAGGGAGTTCATTCCACTCCCTTATAAGCGCATCCTTGATGAGTCCGCTCGCCTCAAACAATACGTAGTCGTTTTTACTCGTCTCCAATAACTCTTTGCACATAGTATACGGGCAAACAGACTTTCGAAAGTTTATAAAAATCGACTCCGCCGTCGCACGCTGCTCCGCCGAGACGAGATTAGGCGGGCCTAGGACAATATCCGCCGCCATTTCCAACTCAGCCGCCATCTGGACAGCCATTTTTGATCTTACATCTGAAATCAGTCAAGGTTTAATTTACGCACAAGGATGTTAAGGTTGTAAAGGAAAATGTCCAACAATGCATATAAACATTTATATAACATTCATATCATTAAAACCTATCTCAAAACCTGCGCCATATTCTTCACAAGAATGCAATGATGCAACCTGTAAGCACTGAATTCACTGAATAGGAACTAATGGTATATGAATATATTTCTTTGATGTGAACTGTGTCAGGGTCGCCTAGATCCTTGATTAATTAGTTGGAACAAAAGACTAACCTTGCTGACAATGTCACAATTTATATTTCACAACATAACAAAACAGTACTCTACTAATGGTTTTTTTTATAAAACTTAATAAAAAACTTAAGATGCAAAATAACAAATTGGGTCCGTCCTAGAATACGATTTTTGGACGGGGCCTATCAATTTTGTACATGACCACTTATTTTTCTGCAAAAATATTATTTTTTATTTTTTTATTATTTAAGGTAAGATTAGGTGAAGATGCTTTCTGGGCCGAGCGCTGCCGCTAGGAAAGGCTAGGGGGCCGAGCGCTGTGGCTTGGACATGCTACGGGGCCGAGCGCCGCGGCTAGGACAGACCACGGGGCCGAACGGTGCGGCCACATGACCAATTATATCCATGTGTTTGGGGAGGGGTCCAAAAATCGTATATTAGGAAATTAACAACAAAGTTCCTTGAGTTGTAAATTAAAGAAAAGAAAATAATTTGATCAAATTCCTCCTAATCTGATGTATCATACTTTAACGTAACATTGATTGCACTTGAATATGATAGATGATCTTGAACGAACAAAACTATGATACAGAAAAAAGAATTCTTCCAGCGCAGGTACGAGTTCTCTCCAGGCAACACACCGGCTTATTGGGAAAATTAATTGAAATTACGACGCGTTGCATATTTGTTGTTGAATGACAACCGACGACATAAAGAAAACTGCAATGAGCCCTGGAATCTCTTCATTAACAAAACGTCTGATATTTAACAGGTGTTAATCTTTAACGTAATTTTAAAATGACAAGTTCTATCTCATGACACAAATATTCAATTAAAAAATATAGATTCTGAAATTACGACGTACAAATTAAATACGCAAATTAATATTTCTTATTCTTTGTGTTGAGTGAGTTGAGGGTTGAAGGAAACTGTCGATTGTCTGTAACAGAAATTACTTCGTACCGTTTAATTTATCAATTCACCAAAACTATACATTTAACAGAAATTTCTTTAGGTCAAGAAAAAAAGAAGAATAATAAGTGTCGATTTTGATCAAAAAAAAATTCTTTTTCTTCCATAACCATTCCCGGATATTTGATATCTTATTGTTGATTATATATATTACTGAATGTATCAACTTGTGTTCAGACAGGATTTTATCTTAATTTCTAATTCATGTTACCATAGGTACAACTATAGGTCGTATCTATCTATCTACAGTCTACACTGCTTTGGTAAAGCGTAACCATAGTGTGACTATGGTTCTACCAATGGTAGAACCTCTAAGAAATTGGCCATTAGTATTTAAAAAAAATATATATTTGAAAATCTTCGCTTTGACACATACGATGTATCACATTTAAGAAATATCACTTACGGGATGAATTTTCGAAACACAAAAAATTAAGTTCTTTTAGAATAGATTTGAAACAATACAAACTTAACTTTAGAAAAAAATAGATACATTTGAGAATATTCAAAAATTAAGTTTACATTCAAGATTACATAAGTTTAACTCTTCAACTTCTGGAGTTTAATTATCTTGACGTCGGAGTTGATCTCGATGTTGTTGGTGTCGAGGGGTGTGAGGAACATGAACTGGTTCCTTCTGTCCTCCCTGGCGTAGTTGATGATGTTCTGCACGGAGATTCGTCGGTTCACTGCGTCCATGAACACGTCGAACTCGTCCAAAATCCTTATCAAATAATTTTGTGTAAAAACTAAAATCTACTTTTTATAATCACATAACTTTTTTAATGTTATAGGATTCCGTAAAATCTCTGTATATGTACCCCCCCCCCCACACACACTCACGCAACACAAAATAACAACCAACTATCTAACTATCTATCTGCCTGGCCTAACCTAAAAGAGTTTGTAGATAATATATACTGTATATTGATTGAGACCCTAGGATTTATTCATTTTGTTAATTAGTTTGTGCATGATAAATGTTTCTTAGAAAACTACCACCTTATTAATACACCCCCACTAAATAATGTACTTAAAAATTCCTGACATAAAAATAAAACCTTACAAACCTAAAGGGAGGATTCATTGCATTCCAAAGAGCCAGGATGAAAGATACAAGAGTAAAGGATCTCTCTCCGCCTGACAGAGATTTGAGATCTCTATCTATATTCATTCCTCCTGCAGTGCTGCTTTCATTCGGGTTCACCTTGACCTCCAGGGTTTTCTCAATGTGGTTGATTTTCAGTCTACCAACGAATTTCCGAATATCCAGTTGAGTAGTGAAGCTCCTCTGAACGGCTTGGGAGGTTGCACGCAATATCATTTTGTAACCTTTCTTCCGGAGAAGGATTGCTTTGCTTAGGGCGGAGATCAATTTCTGCAGATCCTTTAACTCTCGTTTAGCGGTTTCACAGGCTCTGCGATACTTCTTATAGTTGGATTTAACAACTTCAACAGGTTCAGTGTTCTCCTTGAGCTTCTGCAACTTCCCCTCCATCTTTAATATTTCCTCCTTCAAGATGTCGATACTTTTCTTGACTTCCATCCTATCTGGGCCAAACGTAAATGCACGTTCTAGGAGGGTTTCACTCTCCGCAACCTTAGCATTGTATTCATCTTCCAAACCTTTCAGTCTCCTTCTGTATTCTTCCTTCTTCCCAATGTAATGATCAACATCTCTCTTGCTCTTCCTTATCGCGTCTTCGCATTCAGTTAAGCGTAGTTTCAAGGGATCGATCATATCCATCTTCTCGTTCAGAGCCTTCTCAAGCTCTTCTTTAGCAGCTTTTGCAGCTGTTTCAATCTCAATTTCAGCCTCAAGTTTCTCTCTCTTCTCTTTGATTCCATTTTCGTAGGTTTCCAACTCTGCAGCAAACTTTTCCTTGTCATCCTCTAAAGCTGCAATGTCCTAAAATAATCTTGTCAAAATAAATCGGTTTTTAAAAATTAGATCCCTGCCTCTAAGAAATAAAATTTAAGGAAGTATTAGTGTCTATGACTTACCGGAGGCTGCTCTGCAAATTCCTCTGCGTTCAATGATTCCATTTTTGTGTTCTTCTGGAGGATTTTCTGCCGGATAGCTTTTATCTTTCTATCTTCGGCTTCAATCAACTTCATCGCCTCCTTCACCCTGGTCTGCTGAGCGATCATCTCCGTCTGTACAAGCGCAATCTCCCGCTCCTCTTCCACAATCTGGGCCTTCTTCAGGGCGATTACTTCCTCTATACTGGACTTGAGAAGGTGTTGGTTCCGGTATTCTTTATAGTAAGACTTGTAGTTGGGTGCTGGGATGTATTGATGTTTTGCGTTTACCACCGCGTACATCAGGTTTTTAGGTACAGTCTCAGTGTTCTTCAAGATAGATTGGGCTTCAACAGCTGAGTCTATGATGATAATTTTCTCTAGTTTAACCCTGTCAACTAGGGTATTGAAGACAGTCGGTTCTGTTGTATCGATGCAATCTATCAAGGTTGTGTACTTGGGGGAGGAAACCCTGGCTCTTGAGATATCATAGCGTTCCGAGCTAAATTCACTAGTGATGATTGCAGGTTTCCTTGGCAGGTTCATCTTCTCGAAAATATTATAGAGAATAACCTGATCTTTGGAAGAGTTGACACAGAAAGCTAGCATCAACGCACCTATCTCTCCTTCTAGAACTGTACTAATCTGATCCGTGACATTATCTTTCAGTGTGATGTGAGCTCCGATGGGACCGATTGGTTTCTTTCCAAACTTGGTGCAACGATCAATCTCAGCACACAACCTAGGCATGTATGCTCCGAAAGTTGTGAGTTTATTCTTTTCTCCGGACTCAAGTTCGTGCACATCTCTCTTCAAGCTTGCGATCTTAGTATTCTTACTGGTGTACTCAAACCTTGCATTACTCTGCAGGCTGTCAGCATCTCTTTTATCAGATTTAAGATGTTCCAGATGGTTCCCGGAGGTCTCAATCTGAGCTTCCAGAGCTTCTGTCTCCAACTGAAGCTCCTGCATCTGGTTCTGTCGAGCTATTCTTTTCTCTTCATACTCACGGCACTTCCCAGATTTATGCTTCGTAATCTCCTGGGTGATGGAATCAAGCGTCTTCTTGCATTTCTTGATTTTCCGATCATGTTCCGACACAGCCCTCTCCGCAATCTGAACCTGTCTCTTAGTTTCATCATGACGTTTCTTGAGATCCACTAGCGTTTTGGACTCGGGATCGTAATCCTTAGCTATATCTTGGATCTCCTTCTCCACATCCCTCTTCCTGGCACGCATCTCCTTGTCCCGCTTGTTAATCCCCTCGATCTCCTTTTCCGCCATTTCAATCTTCTTCTTTTCCTTCTCCACCACCTTGCTGGACTCCTCTACCAAAATCTTCTTGTCCCTGTAGAGCCCCCAGGCCAGCTCCTTCTTCTTGTTTTTAACCTCGTCATGTCGGGATTGAAGATTTTCAACAAACTCCCACTTTTTTGTCCATTTCTCATTCTCCTACAAGACAAAAATATAATATAAGGATTTGAACAAAATAACGGGTAAATAATAAAAAATATTCAAAAATATTCCTTTTTTCGGGTTAAAGGTGGGGGAAAGTGGATTTTCAGGGCTTTTGAGGATATATTAACAAATTTTCTCTAACTAATAGATGTTTCCTTGAAACCCGGGTTAAAAACTGGGTGTTAAAGGGAGAGGGGGTGGATTTTTGATATTGGAGTCAGAGAAAATTTATCGTAAGTTGTTATTTGTACATTTTAAAGGTTTTAACTTGTATCCAGGATGGGAAGACACAACATAAATATTAAAATTAAAAGATTTAGCATAAACCCACCCTTTCCAACTCCGGGAGAGATTCCAACTTCTTCTTTAGGGATATCTCCGCCTCCTCCTTATCTACCTCCGCCGCCTGGTAGAAGTCCTCACAGTCCTTCAACTGTGTGGATCTGTGGAAAAACTGATACATTTTCTCAGGGTCAGATTTAGACAGGAAGGTTTTAGATGCGTCTTGATTGAGAACAATAATCGGATTTTCAACCTGAAATAATTAAAATACATAAAACCAAGAAATGTCCATTTGTCTTTTACTCAACTTGGGTAAAAAGTTTGGGTAAATTGAATCTAGAAACTAAATCTTGAAGGAACTGTCGTGGTAATTTTAAACAATTATACATTAAAAAACAAGACGGGCATGCTTGATTCACATTGGTACACTTTAAATGAGGAAGATATCGTTGTTTTTCTAACTTGACAAGATTTTAATCCACCATAGTTCCTGCAGAAGATATTCGAAAAAGAAACCTCATAACTAAAAATTACCAAATTATAAAAGGAAAACATTAACATTCTTAAATATACAAAGCTTTGAACAGTACCGTTGTTAATATGACGTGCCATTTTATAATTGTGACTTAAAATCAGGTTGAAAGTCCCTTTAAGATGCATAAAAACCAAACAAACTACCATTAACAATTTAAAAAAAAATAATGTCAAGATTTTTAAAAATGCGTAAAAACTCTGAAGAAAAAAATAACGAAAATAAAACAGATTTCAGTCAAACCCAAAAAAACAATAATAAATTTCTCACCTGAATGCTGAAGTGTGTCAAAACGTTGTCCAACTCTTCTTTAACTTTCTTCTCGACCACAACCCTGCCGTGCTGATCCTTGAGCTTGTAGCTGCTGGAGGAGTTCGTCACAGTTCTCATAACAGTAATAGTATCACCGTACAGGTCGGGTTTATACTTGTTTTCTCCTTGGTTGCAAAGTTTTATCTCTACGACTGCACTGTTCTGACCAGTTCGGATAAATCCCTTGTTACTGTTTCCTCTATTTGACATACGAGCTGTTCCCCCAAGACCGAAAACTATTGCGGTTAGAACCGCAGATTTACCGCTTCCGTTCTCCCCACACAGGAAGTTCAATCTTTGGTTCGGTTCAAACTTGAATTTCTAAAGAAAAATATGAAAATAAATTTGATTTGATTTGATATTCTCGTTGGCCAATAATAAAGAAGAGGTATGGATATTTCAAACTATGAATTCTGCTAGATCAAATAGTCAAAGTTAGAAATATCACAGGTTTGCACCATCATCAGGTTGAAAAGATATACGGAACAGATTTTATTTATTTGAGGCAAATGTCGTGCGAAAGTTCCATTCATATATGTTTAACTGTCTCTATTTAGGCACTCTTTGCAATACCTAATTTACAAGGGTACCCTTGAACATTACTCTCATCATAAATTTGGAAGACAACGTGGTTTTCTGACTTTAAAAATGGTGTATGAATTTCTCGTTTGTTTCTAAAAGGAAGAAATGCGCAATTCAATTTTACAAAGAAAACACAAATTAAATAAACAGTTTAAATAAACAAAGACATGCATATCTTATTTACACTTGACCACACAAAGCATTATGGGCCGGTACCGTTGTAAATCGGACATTACCATCTTTGCACGGAGATTCACTTGAAATTACGCTTTTAGTCTTTTGTTTAGCAACTTTTCGTCCAAGAACGAGGGAAACAAAGGTTTTTTAATTTTAAAAATGTATTACCGGTGAGTTGGACAATGTAACTTTGTAAAAAATTGTAGATAAAAAGTTAGAAACACTTTAGATCTGTTTCCAGAAAGTCAACTTTCATCAAAGTTTGCGCCAAATTACCTCATGACACATGAAGTTTTTAAGCGTAACTTCCATGATCATTCCAGCCTTCAAAGGCCAAGGTCGGGGGTCATTCTTTACACCCTGGGAGGTTCTCGGAACTTTTGATGTACCCCCTTCTCCCTTCTCATGTCTTCTCTTCATTATGATCTGAAAAAATATATATTTGAAAATCTTCGCTTTGACACATACGATGAATCACATTTAAGAAATATCACTTATGGGATGAATTTTCGAAACACAAAAAATTAAGTTCTTTTAGAATAAATTTGAAACAATACAAACTTAACTTTAGAAAAAAATAGATACATTTGAGAATATTCAAAAATTAAGTTTACATTCAAGATTACATAAGTTTAACTCTTCAACTCAGCAATCTCCCGCTCCTCTTCCACAATCTGGGCCTTCTTCAGGGCGATTACTTCCTCTATACTGGACTTGAGAAGGTGTTGGTTCCGGTATTCTTTATAGTAAGACTTGTAGTTGGGTGCTGGGATGTATTGATGTTTTGCGTTTACCACCGCGTACATCAGGTTTTTAGGTACAGTCTCAGTGTTCTTCAAGATAGATTGGGCTTCAACAGCTGAGTCTATGATGATAATTTTCTCTAGTTTAACCCTGTCAACTAGGGTATTGAAGACAGTCGGTTCTGTTGTATCGATGCAATCTATCAAGGTTGTGTACTTGGGGGAGGAAACCCTGGCTCTTGAGATATCATAGCGTTCCGAGCTAAATTCACTAGTGATGATTGCAGGTTTCCTTGGCAGGTTCATCTTCTCGAAAATATTATAGAGAATAACCTGATCTTTGGAAGAGTTGACACAGAAAGCTAGCATCAACGCACCTATCTCTCCTTCTAGAACTGTACTAATCTGATCCGTGACATTATCTTTCAGTGTGATGTGAGCTCCGATGGGACCGATTGGTTTCTTTCCAAACTTGGTGCAACGATCAATCTCAGCACACAACCTAGGCATGTATGCTCCGAAAGTTGTGAGTTTATTCTTTTCTCCGGACTCAAGTTCGTGCACATCTCTCTTCAAGCTTGCGATCTTAGTATTCTTACTGGTGTACTCAAACCTTGCATTACTCTGCAGGCTGTCAGCATCTCTTTAATCAGATTTAAGATGTTCCAGATGGTTCCCGGAGGTCTCAATCTGAGCTTCCAGAGCTCCCCCTTCTCCCTTCTCATGTCTTCTCTTCATTATGATCTGAAACCCTTAACTACAAAGTATAACAGGAAAATCAAAGCGACAACTAAGATTTCAGAAATTGATAGATAGTTTATTCATACTAAAATTTGTCAATGTTAATGCAATTTCCTGGTGTGATTTGGCAAAATTACAATAATTCGACTGTCATTTACAAAACTGAGCACTACAATTTTCTTTATTTGAGGCTAAAAAGAGAATATTCAAGCTTTCGATGTCTTGTTGTACGATAATTTACATGAAGTAATATTGGTTAGGTAAGCGTATTGATTTCAAATATCGACAACAATTTACAACAACTTCTATAAAAATAATAAATGTATAAAAATAAGTTAGGCAAATCAAAAACATTTGTTTATACAGCTGAATTAGATTAGGAATCTAACAGTCAATATTAGAAAACGATGTGAACCAATATGCAAAGCTAAAACTTGGAACGTTTTCTGCTCCGGGTTAAAGCAGGAGTAAGGGAGTGTCCTTCTACTGCTTGTCCGCACCTCTCTTGGAGATCAGCAATCCTGGCACTAATCCCTCGGTAGTCCTCATAGCTTCGTTTCCTAGGAGAACCCTGCTCAGGACTCTCCTGGGTCAACTTCTCTATATCGTTGAAAATGACTTGACGACCTCCACAAACTGTAGGTATTACGTCACCCTAGATAAACAAGGATTAAACAGCTTGCAAATAATAATAATGTTTTTACCTAAGCATGGGAAGATTTAGGGTTTAATCATTATTATCAAGATTTCATGTAAATGTCTTTAAATGTCTCGATTAAAAATTCCGTTAATATACAGTGCTAATCAGAAAGCCCCTGAATTAATTTACAATTAATCAGACAACTTTACAATATAATTTTACAAATATGATTGATGAAACGCTAGTAAAAAATAGCCCTAGTCATGCTATTTCCTAAATGTAGTCTGCCTTTATTGAGCATTTAAAATTGCCAAATTAACTGTCAATTAATTCCGGGTCTTTCTGATTATGACTGTAGTTGCTGTGTAGTCTACATAATTATATAAAATTAAATGAAAAATTACTATTTAACATAAAATATTAAGATTCGAAATTTCACCTTGTAAAGCCTGGTCTCCATTTCTCCTTGTTCAATCTGGTTCTGTGTTGTGAGAACATATTTGTTGGTTCTGGAATTTACAATGTCCTTCTCTTCCAACCTTGTCACAGACTTTCTTCTTTTAAGAACAGGCTGTAGAACCGTATCCATGGGCACAACACCATTGATGGGTCTGTGATCCAACCAATTATCCGCCCCGGCGCTCTGGGACCTACGATGTCGTATGTTGCTGACGGCAATTGATTTTCTGGGTCCGGGAGTACTAGACAAGCGAGGATCACTTGAACTTGGTTTCATCGAGGACCGACCCCGTGTGTTTGCTGCTATCGATAAGTTAGGGTCACTATTGGTTCTTACAGCTCTGTTCTCGATGTTTTCATCGTTAACAGTGTTCTCCGAGTATGCAAGAGCATTTAGTTCTTCCAGTTTTTCCATCATTTTGGCGTTTTTCTTCTCCAGCCTTAATTTTTCCATTTGAACCTTTCTTTCAGCATCATAACTGATTTTCTCTTTCTCCGTCATCAGTCTCTGCTTATACTTGAGCTTGGTCTTGATCCTCTCCTTCTGCTCCGCGTTCAAGAGCAGTTCCTTCTCGTCCAACTCATTTTCGAAGAGGATCTTCATGTCTGCGTACATGTTGACCTTGTCGTTCAGAGATCGATTTGCGCACTCGGCGTTAGATAATCGGGTCTCTAACTGGCGAGATTTCTTTCTCTCAGCCTCTAACTGATTTTTCAGGTTCTTGTTTTCATTTCGTAGAAGTACCACCTCTTCCTCCTGCTTGACTAGGAGATCACGGAACGCGCTCATTTTCTCCGAATTATCCTCCATCAGCCTCTTCCTAGTATCAATCCTCTTCTCCAGATATGATTTCAGCTTCTCAATAACCTCCTCCTCGTCGCACTGCCTCAACTCGAGACAAGGCCAATCTGGACCCAGGTTGTAGAGTGGCATCATGTCAACCTCCATCACGACGGTTCCGTCGCTGTTTAGTCTCTTTAGAGCCTCCTTGTAAATCTGGTTTCCCTTCCTTCTACCTGGAGTTAGACCCATATCAAATCTAACTGTTTGAGGACGCTCAATCTGCACTTCCTGGGTGAGCTCAGCAAACTTCATCACGTTCACGTTCTCATCAAAGTCGCTGATTCTTGGGTTTATACAGACTACCATCTTTACCTTACCCTGACCCTCGAAGTAGTTTCTAAACAAGTGCGTGACCCTTGAATCTCTGTATGGAACCATCTTGGATCCTCCGCTCTGCTGATTCTCTCTAAGAATCTCAATACAAGAGCGAAGTGTCATCAAAGACTGATTGATCTTACTAGCCTCCGCTAACCGTTCCCCGGTGTTTCCGGTTCTATTTGTTCTCTCACTTCCGGCCAAATCAACCATTGCCAGCTGACTTAACGTCATAACGGTAGGATCTGTCATAATATCTTCTCCCTGTGGATCATATGGAGTAGATACAACACGAATATTAAAGATAGAATGAGATCTGGAAGAGGACAAGTTTAACTGAGTTTGTGCAACCTTCCTTTGCTTCTGTCCCTTGTAGAATGCCTCCAGAGCATCTTCAGGAGTTTTCACCTCAACCTCTGTAACTCCATACACGAACATATTCCTAAAACTGTCTTCACGAAGACTTTTTGAGAGAAGTTTAGGTTTCCCGCTCACAATATCAATCTGTGGATTCTCTAGGAGATCATAGATATAGTTGTTGTACACCTCGACATAGCTAATGAATACAGTGTACTGGGCGTCCTCGTCAACATTTATTCTGAAGGACTCTGGGACTCGGTTTGAGAGATCAGGATCACTTAAATTCTGTCGACGATTCCTCGAGCTCTTCATGTTGTTGATCAGTTCGGTTTGTCGGCTTTGTGCCGCGTCGGCATCACTGACGATCTCGAATCCGTTCAGCTTGTCAGGAACCAGCCTGTACTTCTTGGTCTGCAAGTCTCTGATAGAGTTGAAGAGAACATCTATTGCTCTATTCATAATTCCTCCGTCCTACAAAATCACGTTTATACACAATTACAACTTCAAATTTAAAGTGAAAAATAAGTGAACGAAACTAAAAAGATTTCAAATCCAAATTTTTAAGAAATTTAACACCATTCCAAGCTCATGTTGAACATAAAAACCATCTAAGCTCCAAGGTCATGTCTGACATAAAAAAAATCATTAGTGTATTTTCAAAAAATATATTATTTAAATGATAAGCAGACCTTTATTTGCGAATAGTAAACGCCCATAAAATATCTCCCTACCTGTAGTGTACCCTGCATAGTGTGAGTTTTCCCACTCCCAGTAACTCCGTACGTAAACAGAAGGCCATTATTTCCCTTGACAAGATCTTCGACTAGTGGCAGTCCTACACGCTGGAATACATCCGCCTGACAGGACTCCTCTCCGAAGATTTCTAAAAAGATAAAAATTTACAATTCATTTATTCTGTGTTCAAAATGAATAAAAAAAAATATGAAAAGTTATTGCGATATAAAAAGGCGAAAAATAAAAAGAGTTAATATCTTTTCATGATAAATATAAATCAAACAAAATTTCTACCTTTGAATGAATACTGAGTTTCCTTCCCGGAAGTGTATGCTCTGGATGAGAGAGGAGGAGTGAGCTGGATCAGAGTATCAGAGAGCACCTTGACACAGGTCTCAGGTTCCTCGTCCGATGGACGAACCCTGCAGAAAACTTCAACCGGATCCTTGTGAGACTCTCCTCCTGCCATCCTAGGACGGACCCCGTTCCCACGTAGAGGAGTTCTTGCTGGAGTTCGCATACCTCCGATACCAAGGGGTGTCCGAGCTGGGGTCTTAGCCCTAGTAGGACGCATATTATCAATGCGTAATGCGTTGTAATCTGAAAAGACAACATTTAAAAGATATTAATCAAGTTAGATACGAGTAAAACCAACAGTTTTATTTTATATCTCAAAAAAGGGTGTTTAAAATTTTGGCAAGTATTGTCGACTGCCTGTGGATTAGCATTTAATCTTCCGAGAAGTTCTATACTCTTTAAATTACAACGAAACTATCTTGTATTTGAAATACTTCCAAGAAATGCTAAAAGTAACTGTTGTTAACAATAATGTTGAAAGTGAAACTCGAGAAGTGAGATCTAGGTTCTCCGACTAGCGAAGCCGAATCTGATTCCAAGGTTTGAAACGAAGATTCTACTCTGCGATCTCCTCTGCAACTGCCTGAATTTCTTCTCCTTGAACAATGTCCTCCTCACGAACCACAATAAACCCAGATTGCGCACTACGGAAACCCTGAAAGGCTCCGTCACTTTCATACTCCTCCTCCACGATCTCGTTGCTCTCAGTGTCCTTGAGATGGAACTTGAGGTAGTGCTCCCAAAGCTCCTCTACCACCTGGAAAATTCGTTCAAAGTAGAGAATTCGTAACAAAGGTTGAATTCTGTTATACATCTATTTAGTTGATTTATAAAAGGTTGGCAGTTTTAAACCTTTCAAGACATTAAAAGCCTGCTATAAATAAGAGAAGATTAGGGAAAGATATTACCCCCTCCCCCCATCATGGAGAACCCAAACCATTATCAGGGCTAGCACCCTGGCAGACCCCGGCTCCCAAATTTCTATGGGAAGATGCTTAAAAGTGGATCAGACAGAAAAAAATAGTACTTATTAAAGGTTCAGAAAAAAAATTACAAAACTGAGAAGTAATCAGAGATGAAAACTTTAGAATGAGATACCTTAATCACGATCCCTTAATCTGATTATCCAATATACACATTTTTGATTTTCTAGATTTTTAGATATATACAGGGTGGCCAAAATTTTTTTGAACAAATCCGTACAAAAATCCGTACATTTTCAGAAGAAATCCGTACAATCCGTACAATTTTCGAAAAACAATCCGTACAATTTTTTTTTAAAATCCGTACAATCCGTACATTTTTTTAAACCAATCCGTACATTTTTTTAAA